AAAAAAAACCCCCCCAAAAAAAAAAAAGGAGAAAAAAAAAAATATTGCTCGAAAAGCTTCACCGGAGGCGGCTGCGCGGGGCCGATCGTGACTTACCGGCGCCGGAGCAGCCGGTAACGGGACATTGAGGCGGGCACGGCCCGGGGCCCCCCCGGCCCCCCCCTCCCCTTTATTTATTTTCTTTGAAGAGACTCGAATTTCCCGAGCGGGTCTGGGTTAAGGGAAATAACCGCTACTGTATCATGACATCAATGTGAAATGTCTTGTTCCCATCGTGCACTGATCATGAGTATTGTGTAAAGGATCTACTTGAGTGTGCAAGCAAGGAAAGAATCTACATGCTGCTATATGAATACTTTTAGAACAAAAAAAAACCACAAAAAAAAAACAAAAAACAAAAACTACTAACCTACGGGGGGGGAAAAAAGAAAAAAAACCCTTCTTTATTCTTTCATTGTTGCTTTTACAGTGGTATTGCGCATGCAAACAGGAGCATTTTGTGTCTTCAAAAAAAAAAGGAAAAAAACAGATAAAAAAATAATAATCAAAAGAAAAACCTTAACGAGAGATGGCTGTAAAAATTACACCCATGCACAAAGACCCGACACCACCCCGATACCGCAGTCTTGAGCTGGTATTCCCTTATCAGGCCTGGGGACTGATAAGTTTTTTTTGGGTTTTATTTTTTTTTTTTTCTCCGTGTGCACAGTTCTAGTTTAGTTCTGGTCCATCGGGCGTTAAACTTGCAGACGAGAGGGAGAAATAACGTGCCATTTATTTTTATTTTTTATTTTTCACTTGAAGCTCTTCATCGCTGTACATTGGACCCTGCTAATGATACATGTGTACGTACGTTTTTTTAGTGCAATCTCTTCTGTAGATCTTTGTTGACCAAATTGGTGGGTATTGTTACCTATTAATTTATATTTGTCTCATTTTGTATGTATGTGTATAGTGTGTTTGTAAGTATGTGTGGTTTATAACCTGACCGACTGTGTCATGGGGCTCAGTGTGCCTGTAATTTAATCCCCTCCCCTTATTTTTATTTATTTTTGTACTGTGCTGATTAAATAAAAATGCACTGACCATCCATTACACGGCAGCGGTTCGTGGCGGAGTCTTTTCTGCAATCCCACACCCCCGACGCCCCCTTCACGGCGCCGGGAAATTGGATTTGCTTTGATGAAAGAGGGGTTTAACGCAGCCGCAGGTTTAATCGCGTTACCGGCGCTGGGGTCACCCCTTCGCTGGGGGCTGGCCGAGGCACTGGGAGAGTGGCGGCGCGAGGAGGAGGAGCACCCAGCACGCGAGAGGTGAAAAATCGGGTTATCGGGACGCCAAAACTCTACTTTCCATCCGTGCACCATCTTCCCGGAGCCACTGCGCTGGTCAGAAACTGGCACCGCCATAGTGGGATGCAACTAATTGGGTTTTTTTATTTATTACAGTGAATTATGTAAACAAAACCCCAATTCCATTATAGTAGGGTTTTTTTCTGCTCTTTTACACATTAAAATATCAGCGATTTAAAAAAAAAAAAAAGTTCATTGCATTATCGCCCCAGGCTGAAAATTGAAATTCAATTTAGAAATAGTTAATTTATGGGAAAGAACAGGAATATATATATTCTATATATTTTTTATATATATATATATATATATAAAACCAGAGCAGGAACAGATAATATATTTTATAAAGACACATTTAATCACATACAATATTGCCATCTCATAGTATTAGAAATTTCCTAAACCTGCGATTTGTTGCCGTCCATCATGATTTGATACAACCATTTCGTTGGAGGGATAGTGTATAAAAGTGCTGATTAAATCTCCTGCCACTACCTTGCCTACAGGTTAGTGTTACTGGTAGCGGGGGGACAACAACACATTTGGACTAGTAGATATAAAAAGCGAGAAGTGCAAATAGAAAGGCACAGCAATGACGAGGATTTTCCTTCTGATGCTTCCCTGGGAGGATGCAAACAGGAGCTGGGGTGTCCCATGGCTTCAGCGTTGGCATTGCTCCTGCTGAGGAGCCGATGCTGGGATTAAATGAGGAGGTGGAAGGGCCTCGGTGCTCCTGAGCTGCTTGTGTGCGTGTGCTTGGCAAGGTTAGGAGCTGCTGCGTGGGTGGGACGTTGCCTTCAGGCTCCTGATGGCCCCAGTGGTGGTAGGTGACTTGTGTTGGCCAACATCTGGAAGAGCTTCTTCCCGAGGACTCGGGGCAGACCTGATGCGCAGAGCCCTCTGGCGCAGGAGCCCGCCGGGCACCCCGGAGCCGCTTACCGGGAGCAAGCGCCAGTGGCTGGGATGCGGCGCTGGGATGCTGGCGGGGGCTGGTGCGAGGCCAGGGACTATGTGACCGGGAGGCCTCCGGCAATGGGGCCTCCCCGGCAAAGCGCACAGGAGGGATTAAGCTTGTCCCACTTAAATACAGAGCTAGAGTTTCTCTGCACTCGAGGTTCCCCTTAACCTCGGGTCTTGGTGGCAGTGGTCGGGTAGAAACGCTGCAGCAACCTGTCCCTACACCCCGTGTCCATGGCATTGCTTTGGGAAGCCTTTCATTAACAGGTCATTAGGTGAAGAGCCTCTTCCAGGCTTTCCAATTCCTGAAACGCTCAATTAAATATGTGCTCCCTGTTCGCCGGCTGGGCTGGAGACAGGCGGCCCCCAAGGTGGGGTCACCATGCAGAACCACAGAACCCACCCCCCCCCGCGTCCAACGGGCTGGAAATCCTGACCTGACCAGCAGTGCCAGGACTCGGTACGTACAATCCCAACAGCCCCGCAACGTCACACGGCCTCATGCGCTCAAAAACCACAGCAGCAGCCCGCTATGCAGTGGAAATAAAAAGCTTGTTAGTATATACGGCCCTCCTGTAAACACCAAGCTCAAGGTTATCTGAGCCGGACAGATGTGGGTGCCGCGCAGTGGGGAAACGTGATGCCACCAGACAAGCCAAGGTGATGCACAACGCCCCAACATCCAACACCCGCAGCTGGGAAAACCCAGGAAAACTCTTCGAAGGAACAGCCTGGATGTCTGCAGTCGGGTTTGCGCTGCTGCCCCTCGCCTGGCGTGGACGGACGTGCTCGGAGTTAAGTGTTAAATAGTGCAAAGCGAGGGAGCCGCTGCCTCGGCCCCCGAGCTCCACGTGTTTCTAGACTAACCCACCTGCAGCAGGGCCTTTAGCCCTCCCTGAACCTCAGCGCCAGGACTAACACGAAGCCACGTGGATCATATAAAAATTCAAGCAAGGCCACTTGGTCCAAATGGGAGCCCAGCGGATGTTAGGTCACTGGAGAGGGTAATTAAGGCAAAAGCAATGTAGGATTAAAAAAAGTAAAACCTCTGCATTGTGAATCCCACTCTCCTTTCTGCTGGTGGACCTGTCTCCAAGCAAGGTGCCTTGATGGGTTAATGAACTCCAGGCAGGAAAGCAGCAAGTCTAGAGGTGCGTCTCCACGTACCATCCCAAATCCATGTGTGCTGGCAGGGCTGGAAGAGCATGGAATGTCTCCCCGGCGTGGGAAGGCAGCCCTCCTTTCCAAACCTGGCTCCGGTTCCATCGGGATTTGGTCTTACAGAACCAGACTTCCTGAGCCGGGTATCTTTGGTTCCTCCGGTGGAGGCTGCATAATATTGCAAAAAATGACACAAAAAGGAAACACAGAAGGGCATACTGGAGAGGGTTTAAGAAATCAATGTGGGAAGGGAGAAAAAGGTGTAAGTACCTATAAATGCTTTTTTTTTGGACTAATTCAGAAGCACTTTCCTGATATCCTGGCCTGTTTTGTAAGATGGATACAGGTCACTGGCTATTTTAAGCCTTTGTTGCATGTGGTAGTAAAACCCTCTCCTGAATTTGGGTTTGGTAAACCTCTAGCTTTAGAGATCTTTTTAGGCGCATGACCAAGTCACAGCTGAGCATCTCTAAATTAATCCCCTTGAAAAGTCCAAGGCACAGGAAGGGTGATCAAAGCCCCAGTCCGTCTCTCCTCCACTCCCTCTCTCTCTGGGCTCGCTGCATCAAACGGAGGGGGATGCTAATTCCCCGGCACGCAGAGGATAAAACCGGAACGATGCTTGGTGAAATCCGGTTGGGATTGGTTAATCTTGGTTTCCACGGAGACGGTGCATTTCCGCCCATGCAGGCTGCACTGGACCGGGTTGGTGACGCTGACTTGCAGAGCGCGTTTCTCACTGCAAAGGCAAAAAGGAAAAGAAGAGTCAGGCGGGAGGGACGGGATGTCGTTACCGTTGCTCAGACCTTGGTGCAAGGCAGGGAGAGGTGGGTTTGGATCAGGCAGCAAGCTGAGCCCACCGCGTTAAGCCATGCCGCAGCTCTAAACCCAGCTTTCGGGCTCAGTTGATCCCTGCTCCTGCACATGAAGGTCTCCCACGCAGGGAGACGTGCACCCAGGGGACTTCTGCATTGGGATCAGCGCTGATGGGGGAATATCGCTTCACGGGCAAAGCAAAGGCCGGGTTGCAAAAGTCCCGGGGTCTGCTGCCAGCTCGGCCACCCACTCGCCGAATGACCTCGCGAGCACTCACTCCTATCTCTATAATTACAGTAAGGATGAAGACATCCCTTGTTCTGAGCTCAGAGGTTAAAAGTACAGCATGAAATAGCTAAAAGAATCACAGGTAGGGCGGTGGGTTTTTTTAATTCCCTCTCCAGGCAGAGAGACAGACAGATCGACCATGCAGCCTCCTGGGGTCGGAGCGCCCTGAATGGAGGCAGGGCACAGGCGGGGACAAAACTGTGTCACTGCAAACCATTCCCCAGCTTTTTAACCCTTTAACTTAGCTTTGGTGTTAAAAAATGATTCTCATGAGTGAAATCGGGAGTTTCAGCCACCCAAATTGGTTTTTCCTTGCCTTTTTGGGTCACTGCCAGTGGGGGACATCAGGACAGCACGGCCAGATGGCTGTCCATCTCTGCTCCAGCTGAGACAGGGTCAGGGATGGCTGGCAAGGATGTTCCCCTTTGCTAAAGGCCATAAAAGCCACTATTCTGTGTCACAAATAACTTCCCTTGTACCATAAGCAGAGAAATGCCCGGCTGTTCCCTTGGGCTGGGGATGGAGACGTGGTGTGGCCAAGCTGATGCATGAGCCCCAGTCATGAGCTCTTTGGACCAGCAAAGAGCGGGTGTCATCGAGGCAGGAGAGTGAATTAGCAGGAGAAACGCCTGCAGCAGATCTGTCCCCCTGAGCCACCGCCAGCCTGGGGAAGCGGGAAGAGATGTACTGGGACTTGGCCTTTGGGAAATATCTCTTGCGACCTCACCCACACTTCAAATTCCTGAATTTCCGGCATTTCTTAGTATAATATTGAGTGGTTTAAAGACTCAGTGGCATCAGCTCCACTGCCTCTCTCGATGCTTTAAATACACGGAGGAGGATGTGCTGGGTTTCTGTTCTGCTGCGTTTAGCTTCCAGACCCGAGGTCTTGCCTTGCTTGACCTGTTGTTACAGTTTTTTCACTGACACAGCCTAAGTCCTTCACGCAGCACAGGCTTAGTTTTTACTTCATTAACACAGACTGTTCAAGACGTGTCACATCCCATAAGCCACATTTTTACCCAAATAATTAAGATGTTCACCGCTTCCATAAAAATGAATGGTTGGTTGGTTGGAGGGGTACTGGCAGGGCAGCAGCACACAAAGCCCTCACGTTGTCCCAGGTATTAAATACTTATTTACTCTTGCCTCAGTGAGTTGAGGCTAAAATCCCTGCTTAGTTTGCTATTTTTACCGTGTCTTAGCAGAACGAGCCGCATATGTAGAGGAGCCTCTCGGAGATTCCTGCCATCATGTGCTTGGAGAGCAGGTTTAGCATCAAGTGTTTGTAACAAGGATAAATGCTAACGACTTTCCTTCTCCTCTCCCACAGCCCTCATCAAATTATAGGTAAGAAGATCGAGGGTCTGTCGCTGTTTTAGAGTCAAGCTCTCTTGACCCTTTTGCACAGCAATAAGGAGCCCAAACCAGCGGAGAAGTGTCATTAACCTGAATTTTGACCACAAGCAGGAGCCAGGCCTGGAAATCAAAAGGTCCTTGATTTATTTTGAGCCCTGTGGCTGTGGGACCTTAAGCGAGAAGCTGGATCTCTCTAGGTCCCAGCTCCTGCTGGAATGACATAAGCTAAACACGTCTACATGAAGCTAACGTTGTCCTGGGATAGTGGGCTCTGGAGAAGATGCTCTGATCTTCGCCCTGTGTAACGTTTCCATTAAATAAGGACTTCACTTCCCCCTCCGTGTTTTCCAGGCCCCACCATGACAGTACTCATTCCCGGTCACACATTGATCATGCGTTGCTTTTCTTCATGTGAGAAGAGGTTTCAGCCTCAAAACCTTTTGCTGGCGGAACAGGACAGCTCTTGAATGGCATCCAAAGAGCAATCCACATGGGGATTTGCAAGTCCACAGCGGGATTACAAATCCCATCCTTGGTCTTCCCCGCTAGGCAATACAACACTGAACCCCGCCGCCAGCTCCACAAGCAGCTCGATGTGCTGGGACCTTGAGTGTCTTGGACGCTGCTCCTGTGCTTGGTCAATTGCCAGCAAAGAAGAGGTTGGAGGAAATGTCAGTTTGGTTTCCAGTCCATCAGTCACATCAGCATCACACCTGTTAGTGCAGTGGCAAAAAGGGGAGATGACAGCTGCTGGCTGCCCTGGAGTAAGATGGTTTATTTATTGACTGAAAGGGAGAAAACAGCTGCCTGCATCAGCTGATAAACTGGATTAAAAGACCTTCCAAATCTCACTGCTACAACGAGATTTTACCGAGTAGCACAGCTGGGGAGATGCTTCCCCAAGTTCCTGCAGAATTTAGAACCCAAAGGAAGAGTCTGATGGAGATGGTCCAGCATAATCCTGGAAATCCAACGAAGTCTTCCATAGACAAGGGCAACACACAGTGAAAATACCCTTTGGGGATGATTGGTGCTCTGTAAGACCCCGAGCAAGACACCGATGGCAGCGAAGGCAGAGACAAGTCCCACTTCCACTCAGACTTGGGCTAAAAGCTGTGTTTTCACTGCATAATCCTGTCCCACCATGGTACTTTGCTCTTCCACCTCCCCATCTCAGTGAGATGATTCAGCCAGGAAAAGGTTGTTAAAGTGAAATTAGGATGGAAGAAAGTTTGCACTATTAAATTTCAAGCTTGGAAACACACATCTATTCACCATCCATGCTTTAATTCCTTAAGTATTTAAATGGTTGCTACTATTTAAGGAACATTCATGAATTTACTCATTACTCACAAATAATCTTCTGGCCTTCTGACAATTTAAAGGACCAGCTGGGTTTCATATTAGAGGTGGAAGATCTTGTCATTTAAAGACTTAAGGGCAGAACTGAATGTGTTTATGACTATTCTGTGGCTAAAGACACAGTCACCGTGCAGAGAGCTAAGTGACATGCCCAAGGTCACAGAAAACAGTGTCATAATTAAGAGCTAAACCCAAATTCTCCAACTTTCACAATCTTTTAACCTCAGATGAGCAACCTGCCATGGCAGTCCAAATACCAGTCTCTTCCTTCATCCTGTAGATCTACTTGATTCAAGGATCTTGCCTTGGTTCAGACCGAGTTTCTTATCAAGAGCAACATCCAAGCTCGCCTGTCTGTTAACAGGCAATGACTGCCTGCACGTTACGTCCTCAAAAGACAGTTGGAAAGTTTTTGCTGCCTGGAGAAGACCCCTGCCCTCATCCTTTTGCTTCCATCCCTTGTACTAATTGCATCCCAGCACCTCGCAGAGGTGCCGTGTCTGCCGGCAGCAGAGCCCTGCCCTGCAGATCCGACAGCGGGATGGCCGGGAGCCTCCGGAGCTGTCACTAGATTGACCCTTACTACAGGCTGTGTAGGAGAACTTGCTCCAGACATTAGCCTCTGTTTTAGTAAACCCTTTAAGAGGCTTCCGAGACACTTTTGCCGTCTCTCTTGTACAGACACTTGTTTAGGAGACCATCTACAAGATGTCAGAGCTCATGTAGGTACCAAGCACAGCTCTGCCCAAGACCAGCCCCATCTGATCGCAGCTTTGGCTCTTCACCAAGCCCCGACGTAACCTGCACACTGACGGAAGTCAAGTCAATTAGGACAAAATGACGGATACTGCTGCTGGGCATCTTCTGGGAAATAAAATTACTTATTTTTAACAACGATTCCATTAGAAGAGACAGTGAGATGCAAGCACTGCCTGAGACTCTGCCAGGGAAAAAATGCCAGCCCCCAGCATCCAGGCGTGAAACCGCCTGCAAAATGTAAAAGAAAAAAAAAAAAGCGCTTTCGTGCGAAAGTCAGGATCAACCCCAGCACTGCTCCAGTACTGCCAGGGAACCACATGGTAATTTCTGTATATAATAAACCACATGATAAGTTCTGTATATAACAAACCACATGATAAGTTCTGCATATATTAAACACCAAGGTGTTTGTGTTTTCTGAAAACACAGGTCTTTTTATATAACTGCAAACAATATTTTTGGTGGAAACAGCCTCTCTTGACATCCTGGCGGTACAAGCCACAGCCACTGATCTCAGCTGGTTGTGTGGGCTGGGGCTTCTCTTTGCTCTTTGGATTTCATGGCTCAGTGAGCTCTGCAGGACTGGGTGACTTCTCTTCCTTCATCTGCTCCAAACCATCATAGCATGCAATCTGCCTTTATCAGCTCACTTCGCTCATCTATTGACTCGCGCTCATTAGAGGAGTTAATGGCAAACAGTCGAGGCGATGGCTCTGGGTGGGAGCATGCGTGTGTGAAGCACCACGAGCATCGCATGAACAGGGTCTGTGTGTATGGGAAAACCACATCCTGGAGCGAGAGCATCGTTAGAAATACAGCACGAGCTGATCAGACGCCCGGGTAAACGCTGGCAAAAGGGAAACCAGCAGAGAAGAGATGACTCCAAGTGGAAGCAGACTACTGGCCCATGAAATATTAGAGTTTTGACTGAGCATTTAATCTAGGACCTCAGGGAAAACACAAGCCAAGTAGCGCATAAATGGCCACAGACATCTGTCAGCGCTGTTGTTGTTAATACAAAAGCACCTATGTCGCCAATAAGTGGTCGGAAGCAAAATGGTGAAGGATGAGAGTGGAGAAAGATCAGAGGGAGTTTCCGCAAAGACAGAGGCGTAGGACTGGAAAGTTAAATAAATGTATTGTTAAATAAATGTT